ATGAATGTAATTCGTTTGCAATGTGTCAGTCTTATTTCTTATAAACAAAAAGTGATACTTTAGAAGAACACAACGTGGCCAGCAATGAGAAAACTAAGCGTCAAAGCCGATGAAAACTCTTATGTTCAACTTAATTTTGTAAAAAGTTTATTAAGACGACTTTTATCAAGTCATCTTTCAGCTTAAGCATGTCTTTATATCTCTTGTCTAGTAATATTTCTTTGAAAAAATTACAAAATTAATTACGTAATATCCATATTACTGTTTGTTTTAAATGTAGGAAATTGTAGTCAGTGTTTGTTAGGCCGTCTTCACAAGCCCTGCCTAGTAAAGTGTGATCAAACGCTGTTCTGTGGCCACAGTTGTACAGACGTCTGCGCCAGGAATTGTCCACCATGCCAAAAGAAGTGTGACACTAAATGTACTCACGGCATATGCAAAAAAAAGTGTAGAGAGCCCTGTAATCCTTGTACAAAACCATGCAATTGGAGATGTCAGCATTTTAATTGCACAAAACTGTGCAGTGAGCCCTGCGACAGACCGCGATGTGACAAACCGTGCAAGAAGAATCCGTTTAAGAAGTGTCGTCACCGTTGTATTGGCATGTGTGGCGAGCCCTGTCCGAAGAAATGCCGAGTTTGCGACAAGGAGGAAGTGACGAAACACCTATTTGGAAACGAAAGTAATCAGAGCGCTAGGTTCGTGGAGGTTCAACCATGTGGTCACGTAATTGAAGTCAAAGCAATGGACAAGTGGGTGGATGATTGTGTTAATGCCTCTGCGACGAATCTTCAACTAATACGGTGAGAAATCTATAACTATTTTGCAACCATTCTTAAAAGGATGAATTAACAAAATAAAACAAAAAAATACGTCTTTTTGTCAATATTAACCAACATGACAGCAGACTATGGTAAAGAAATCGAAATTTCCTATTACTATGATTATCATATCATTTAGATTTTGTATTTTGGGGCAAAATGATGCACTTCTGAAAAAGCTGTATTAAATCGCCTTTGACATTACTGCTCGCATGGCGCAAATGAAGTTACTTTAGTCTTCGATGCTCCTGTCGCGGGAAAGATACCCCAATACTTAATTGTAGCATTCCCTAGCACCAAAGGCACCGTGTCCTTCCATTTGTAAGGGGAAGGCAGGCTAAAAACTGGTTCATTAAAAAATTTTACTAAGCATTTTGATTCAAATTCAAAATCTAGATGTCCAAGATGCAAGGCACCAATTAAAACCTGTGTACGATATGGTAGCATCATAAAAGCCATACTGATGGATTTAGAGAAGGTCAAAGCAAAAACTTTTGTTGACAAAAAAGAGCTCGCCCGAATGGCAGACCAGCTGAAAAAGAAAATTTCTAAACAATTCGTCAAGAAGTTCCCAGATAAGGCAAAAGGTGTCTCTAAAAGCCTCGACAGAAAGGACATTACCCGGGACTATCTTAACATGTGCGAAAACCAAATCCATTTCATKAATTGCCTAAGTGAGGTTCTAAATGACAGAGATCGTGTTCAGCGAGGCGGAAATTACCGAGGAATCAATTTTAGGAAAATAATGAAGAATCTTGAAAGTGATGTGTCAGGCCTCGTATCTAAAGTTATGGCAAAGGGGAGACTAAATTTCAGTGACCAAGAGACAGACGAGATCTAYTGTGAAATGCAGCGTGTGTTTTTGGTGTTTCTGTACGAAGTTTGCAAAAGGAAATTGGCCAGTAGTAACTTGGCCGGTGATATCAAGAAAGCTATAGAATCTCCTGGACCAATTGGTAAGTATAATAATAATGTAACATATATAATATATTATTATAATAATAACAACAACAACAACAACAACAACAACAACAACAACAACAACAACGGGGTTCTTAATATAGCGCATTTTACATGGTCTCAATGCGCTTCACAATCATGATCAGTGGAGGACTTTACGGGCTGCGTATTTAGGCGCTATAGTAACAGCCGTGCAGCTTACAAGTTAGTATTAATGCCTCCAGATTGGGATAGGCTGTTGAACCGGGAGACAATCCCCTACTCTTATACGAATAATTCAACAGGTTCTTTTATGTCCCCCATTTTTACCATAGGTTAGGAAGGGTTGGGAGACAGGGCCTACGGTTTTAAGTCCTTGTCCGAGAAGACTTGAAGGTCTAACCATTTGCAAATGTAATTACAAAGGCAGCACCTTCTCCTCAGTTATTTTAAGACCCTGAGTGTTGGTCCGGCCGAGGCTTGAACCACGACCTCCCGCACAACATACCGACGCTCTTACCAACTGAGCTAGCCGGGTGGCGGTACTAGTATGTGTGAGACCAAGGTTTTCACGACTGAGCCAGGGATCATCGATCAATATTCTCCAAATTTTAGAAACAAGTGCACCAACACGTTTTCTCAAACACTGCCTCGTTATTTGCATAGTACTTTTTCGTTTTAGGTTCATTCGTCCTTAATTTTTTTTTCTTTTCCCAAGATAAAGCCAACTTACACTACTACAAGGAAGAACTCCAAAAAACAGATGAGTATACAAATATGTGAAGAGGTTTGGATACCCTTGAAAGATGAAGACAAGGTTGTTAAGGTTATTTACCTCACCCAAGAACATTGGTCCAAGTGCCAAGAAGGTACGTTTACTTATCATCGTCAAATAAAATTGATAAAGATCGTTTTTATCATTTACAAATAGCAAAAATTGCATAAACTAGACGAGTGTCCAGCGATATACGAAGTGCTAAGTTTTTACAAATACTGAAAATATCAATGTTTTTTCTTCTTTCAGATTTTGAGTATTTTTGTTTTATGAGATAATTGAAACGACTTATTCCCCTTACTTGTAGGTCATGTATATCACGTAGATAAATGTGGCGTTGACACTGAAGGACGTCCATGCCCAGAATGCGATTCATTGGACTTAAAAACCGTGGGGAAAACCAGTGCCTTAGGTGATAGTCAGTTGCTTCACGATATGGGTGCTGATGAGGACAAATCTTTGGCGTCTGCCAGTTGCAATGAAAAATGATCTAAAGAAACAATAGACCTTTTAGTTTGGGTGCAATGTTTTCTTATTTCAAACCACATGTCATTCTTTCGAGAACAAGATTCTTCGTTTGTTTCGTATCCATATTCGACACGAGTAAAAAACGTCTGCGCATGCTCTGAATCCTCATGCAAATTAGTTAAATCATATGTAAAATGACTTTCAAACATGCCTGATAAATAGCCCACTCCGAGATATACTTCGCTTGTCACGCACAAAAGTTTCAGTATGAGGCTACGTGCTAGATTGAATTTATTCTTACCATCCGTSACGAATGACTGAGAATTTAGCACGTAGCCTCATACTGAAACCTTTGTGCGTGACAAGAAGCATATCTCGGAAGTGGGCCATTGGACTTCACAAAATGCTGAAACTTAGTGTCCATGCTTGAAACTTAAGGCYAATTCTTTCACATTGTGATATTTGATACAGTATCGTGGTCTGACATAAGTATATCATAACGACTGAACTACTGAACTGTCGCCCTCATTCTAGAACTGCTCTAGATTATTCTATAGTTCTAGGTAGAAATAAGATTGGTTTTTTTTTCCTGATAAAATTGTAGGATTTATTTTATTTTTACTATAATTCCAGCGAGAATTGGAATACGACGCACCAAGAATTAAGTGGATTGATCGAATAAATCGTTTTATTATATGGCAAGGTAATTTCACGCGCTATGATTGGTCAATTTGCGGTCCATAACTTACGGTACGGACCGAAACATGAAATGGTTCACTGAGTGTACGTACTTATGATCTTTTGGGGCATTCAAATCTTTATCAAAAAAATATATTTCTGGATGAAAATTGTCGGAAAACCTTCAATAAATAATTAAAGAT